TATTCTCTTGAAAAAAATCTTTGCTGGGAATGAAATACGCTGCATTCTAATAATTTTATGTATTCTGAGACTATGGTAGAAACGAAAAGGCTAACATTGACGTAAGCTACAAATAGATAAGAGTTTTAAAGGGTTATTAAGGCTTTTTGTTGTTCAAAATCAAGAAAGAATCTGTGAATTTCAAGTGTAAAGTCATAGTATTTCCCACACCTGGAGAAAGGACTCTGGTTATGCCCGTGAGAAAGAAAAAACTTAAAAGGGAGCAGGAACTATTTTCAGTTAGGACATTTTTTCCTTTTTATTTTTTTATTATACACATTTTTTTCTGATTTCCTTTCTCACTTGGTTGATTGATAAGGGTCATTTAATGCTGAAATTTAATTTTCTTCTGCGCTTGCTTCTATCACCTGGAAGGGATATTAGAATAATCCAGAACCTCTATTGGCAGCAAACCGACTATACATGGATAGAAAATGTATTCAGCAACTATACAAAAATAGAAAGACGTGTAAGACAAGGATGTGTCTTCTCATCAGACGTATTCAACCTATACAGTAAGAATTACAAATCCCACCAGGATTCATTATTGATAACCACAATTTTAACAACGTAAAGAGAGTTCAGAAACCATTTTCAGTTAGTACATAATATTTAATTATTGTTGTACTGGAACACACCTATTCTATAGTTAATAGACTCTCCCACATATAAGTAGTAGTAGTAGTAGTAGCAGTCGCCAGTAAGCTCAGTGAGTTGGTGGGTCAGTCGATGTCGGACATTAAAGTATCAGCCACCACAACTAGATTGCTGCGTCATTATCTATTATATCAAGTTCCTAACGTTTTGTACGTCGAACCTTTTTAGGGCCGACTTAGTGAAATACAAGCCTCCACTGTGAAACTACTCTATAACAATTATAGGTCCTAAATTTCAACAATCTTTGATTCTACGTGCAGATGTCTTTTTTCCGTTTTTCATAAACTTGCCTCTTTTGGTCACATATTCCGTCCATGATAGTCTCTGCAGCGTCCTTCTGTAAAACCATAAATCTGTTGCATCAAGTCTCCTCTTCATCTATGAGAAGATGGTCCAAAATTCACTGTTATATAAGAGGTAAAAACTATACTACAGTTAAGCCCATTTTTCTTTGTTTCTACTAGAACTGCTAGGTGACCATAACATATTTGGGAAGGATATTAGAATTATCTAGAGCATGTACTGGCAGCAAACTGCCTGCACGTGCATACAGCAAATATACAAAAATAGAAATGTGTTCAAAGGCAAGGATGTGTCTTCTCACCGGACTTATTCAACATATACAGTGAGCCGATTCTGAGAGTCCTACTTCATTATTGGCAACCACAATCTTAGTGCAAGATATACTAATGACAGTGTTAATAGCAGATACAAAAAGGAAAATACAAGAAGTCCTACAGAAGGTAGAAGAGGAAAGCGAGAAGAAAGGACTAAACATCAATTGCAAGAAGGAATATATGGTTGTCAACAACGGCAACAGCAAACTGGAGATACCAAAACCAAGTATGTACAACAATTTAAATATCTGGGAAGTTATTTGACATAAAACATCGAAATCGAAATGCGCTTTGGGATGGCGAAAGAAGCCTTTCAAAAAGCTAAGAAAAGTATTGAGAAACATGAAATCTTTGGTAAAAACCAAGAAAATCGTACTGAACTTACGTAATATCAGTCCTTCTACATGGAAGTGAATGCTGGACAATCTCCTCACAGATCAAGAAAAGACTTGAAGCAACAGAAATGTAGTTTTACAGAAGGATGTTGAGAATATCATAGACTGATCATGGGAGCAACGACAAAGTTTTAGGGAAAGAAAAAGAAAACTTATACTTAATATTAGAAAGAGTTGGCATTTTTTAGGAACATAATGAGGAAAGAGAGCTTGGATTTTTGACACTCACAGGACGTATTGAAAGCCAGGTGGACAAAGTAGCGCATGACCTACCTAGCGAGCTGGTGTCAAGGGATGATGGTAGAACAGGGGTGGGGAGATATTGCTAAATGAGCAAAATTACTAGAAACTATAAAGGACAAGAAATTGTGGAGAACCATGATCGTCAACATCCTGAAGGGTTATAGTACAAAGATGAAGTGAACAACATTTGAATAGCCAATCGTTTTACGTAAAAGGAACAACAGAATATTTTAAAATCATTTCACTCCCACCCCAAAAAGGCGATAATGCTACTAAGACGCAAGTGATTATGAGTGAAAGAGAATGAGAAAACTTGAGGAGGAGGAAGGGGAGACCCAATCCTAAACAGAAAACAAGGGATAAACCTCTACTCTTTCAAAAATCCAGGGAGAAATGTGAATCGGCGAACCAATCTACTATTGAATTAAATGAAAATACCATTTGTTCAAATACGCCTAAGCGATGCTTTTGATACTGTACAACAGTTATTTTTCATACGTGGCTTCCCTCTGTCTTTTCTACAAATATTTTCATGGCAACTGATCGGAAGACCTTTTTCCATGGTGCCCAACTACAAGAATTCAGGCGTGCTGTTAGATTGGCATCTAGGTCCCACCCTTTTAATGTTGAAACAGTTAAATGTAACTGTCACTTCAACAGTTTCTTTCCCAACAGTGGAACTCTCTTCCTCTTACTTGCTTCCCTGATAACTACAATCTTCAAAGATTTAAATGCAACGTCAATCGCAATCTTCTGTTGTCCTGAAGCCCGTTAATCTTTTATCCATTCTTCAATCCTCCCTGTATCCAATCTTTTATCTCTCTCTCTCTCTCTAACCCACTGCATACTAGTGGCACTCCCGGCTTGGTTGGGGCGAAATACTTTTAAATAAAATAAATAAATAAATGAATTAAAAAAAATATCAACCTAACTTTAAATTAGTTCTTTCTTTAGGACGTTATCATATGACATAATGTAACCTGAAATTGTTCGACTGTGAGAATGAAAATTTTTCTCTTATCTTTTAGAAATTTGTCTGTGTCCACCCACCTCAATCCACTAGAACGAAACAGCCCACATCGTAAACCAATCGTTTTACTATCAGTCTCTCTCTCTCTTATATATATATATATATATATATATATATATATATATATTCGATATGTTATGAAGGTAACTACTTGATGGTATCGGTCTGGAGGAGGTGATCCTAGCGTGCAACACCTTTGCAAAGTGTCTAAAGACCATACCACGAATTGACAAAAGTCTTATGAGTGAAACTGGGTAAACGGAACCGTTGGGGAGTGGTCGGTGGTTGTGCTATTTTTTATTAAAAGCCCAATTTATCGAGGTAGGGTTTGAGTGGGCTGACCTTTCAGACCGTTGATTAATTTCTAGATAACGTAAAGATTCTCTCTCCCAGAAACTGTAACAAAGGTCTGCTCAGCATAGTTGCAATGTAAACTACAGGTAGACTGTGGTTGTTGAGCAAACACAAATGTACCTAAGCAGGCGTCTGCAACGGGGATTAGCTAGCCGCTCAAGACGGCGGTCATCCTCAGCCACGACTAATATATATATATATATATATATATATATATATCACCCATGTACAGACTGTTTTGCTGTATCGCAGCTCATCAGTGTGGCTAGACATCAGATTGCAAATTAAAAAATATCCGCATTTTCGCCATAACGTAATATGTAGGTTGGTGACACTGCCTTCTGCTCAAGCGTGCTTATAGTTGGTACTATTGCGTTCATATGATCAATGTTTGAGCTTGATCGCGCCAGTTGTTTTGCTGTGGTTACAGTGTGAACATGGCCACACCGCTAGCACAATCATTACGTATACCCATTTTCACTCACAAGACTTGGTTCAACCAATGGCATGGTTTTCAGTCACTTCACAAAAGGTACCGCACGCTGGGATCGCTTTCTCTTTCGTCGATAGTTTCAAGAAGTCACCTTCCTGAAAAATCGATAATGGCGGGATTCGAACCCGGATGTCATAGTCGAAAAGCGAACGTTTTTGTTTATTACTAACAGACGCTTAATTTGCATGATTTTTTTTCAAAGTCGCGTCACTGGCCAATAAATCGTTTCCCCGCTAGGGATTTCTTGAGAATTGGGTGGTTAGATACAAAGCAGAATTAAAAATAAATAAATAAAGTAAAAGAAAAACAAAAGAAGACACCTGTCGGAGGATGAATGAACCCTGTTGTAGGGTTTTAAGTTATCTTGCACAACGGGGAAGTATGGTCTCCACAGCTATGTATGCAGGCAGAGTTGTGGCTGTATGGTATTGTTGGAAAGAGAGCTTTCTTGACTGAAGTCAAGAGCCGGAATAAAGTGTCCCCCTGATTGAATCAATGGTTATATGTCCGTGACCAAGTCAAACCCTCAGTTTAGAGCATATGAGTTACTCTAGGTCGACTTGGCTAAGGTACGCTATGCATTAATGAATACCACTTCGGTTTTAAACCCAGATATGTGGAAGGAACTGGTCAGGTGTTCAAATAAACACACTTAATCATGAGAGTGATAATGACGAAACAAATTAAAAAAATTCTTTTCTATAATTTTAATCAGGCATGTAGTCTTGCAAGTTTGCTGCCGACGCGCACTAAAATCAGAGTGTCATGCAACCATTTGTGTATTAGTAGCCAAAATAACACTTGTTTCACTTGAACATATTTAGTTACTATTAAAACTTCTACTTGAACCATAACACCTGTCTTCCATGATGTGTCACTCACGAGGATTTCATATTTACTCACTGAATGAAACACATGGCGTTCAGTCGAACAGAAGTGCCAGAAATTGTTAACACAGTAACATCTTTGTCAATGCACTTAACACAATGCATCACCATTAATCACATAGATCAAACATTATGCGCTGAATCATTGTGATCCACTTAGAGACACACACATTATATAATTGAGGAATAACATTTAAAATTTAAGAGAGTCTTATTTTTTGATATGAAATTGGTAAGATGAAAATTAAATAGAATGGAAAATAGAATATTAAAGAAAGAGAGAATTTAAATTAAGAGATTTAAGAGAGAGAAATTATTTCTTATAGAAAATAAAAGAGAAGAGATACATTTTATAGATTGAAAAATAAAAGAGAGAGAGAAAAAATTATAGAAAGGAGAGAGAGAGAGAGAAAAAGACAGAAACAAAGAGAGAGAGAGAGAAAAACAGAATTTTATATTCAAAGAGAGAGAAAAAGAGAAAGGAAAGAAAGAGAGAAAAGAAAGAAAGAGAAAAGAAAAATTCAAAAAGAAGGAAAGAAAGAAAGAAAAAGAGAGAGAGAGAGAAAAGAAAGATTTCCAGACATGAAAGAAAGAAAGAGAAAAGAAGAGAAAGAAAAGAGAAACAGAGTCAAAAAAAACAGAGAGCTTGAGAAAGAAAGAATAGAGTTCAAAGCAAAAAAGAAAGAAAAGAGAAATAAATAAAAAAATGTAAAGATTTATAAAGCAAAAAAGTTTATAAAAGAGAAAACAATTTTAAAGAAAGAGAGACAAAAAAGAAAAGAGAAAGAAAACAAAAAGAAAGAATCTTTATTATAGAAATTTATATAAAAAAAAAGTAGAAAATAAATAAAAAAAAAAAAAAAAAGATGTTTCAAAAAAAAAGAAAGAAAAAGAAAGAGAGATGGACAAAATCATAAAAGAATATAAATAAATTATGGGAGCCGAAATAGACGGGGATAAAGAAAAACAGATAATTATGATTTTTCAAATGTGGGAGTTAAAAAAAAGATATAAAATCATGAAATTGTATCTATAACGACAAAATATTGTTAGATTTTGTTGACATTAAAACAGATTTTGCCAGAGAAATTTTGAAATCGAAGACAAAAGTTTAATAAAGAATAATCAATAATAAATATCGAAAAAATTCGTTTATTCTTCCGATAAACAAACAGAAAATTTTGAAAAACGAATTTTGGCTTATACATTATATTTAAAGAGAGAAATCGAAATAAAAAGTAAAAAATCAAGAAAAAAATCAAACACATATATATATATATATATAGATATATATAAAAAAAATGGACAAGGTCCGACAATTTATTTATTAAAGACATTTTATTTATGTTTAACGTTGTTATTTTATAGATACAAGTATTTAAGCAAATGCTCTGTTTATGATAAACAGTATTAAATAACATTTACCGGCCTGAATGTCCGAGAAATTTTCATAGAAAATATTCGTTCTTTAGACAGGATTCGAACCTGCATCCTATACGGAACCGTCATATACGCTGACGTGCCTTGACCACTCGGCCACAAATGAACCTTATGGTAGACAAGGTCGAATTTACTGTTTATAAACTACAATCTTCCATGAATCTCGTACATTCATAACTGCTCTGGCGTATCGAATGTAAACAAATGACGTCATATGTTAAGAAATGGACAAGGTCCGACAATTTATTTATTAAAGACATTTTTATTTATGTTTAACGTTGTTTTTTTTATAGATACAAGTATTTAAGCAAATGCTCTGTTTATGATAAACAGTATTAAATAACATTTACCGGCCTGAATGTCCGAGAAATTTTCATAGAAAATATTCGTTCATAGACAGGATTCGAACCTGCATCCTATACGGAACCGCCATATACGCTGGCGTGCCTTGACCACTCTGGCCACCATGAACCTTATGGTAGACAAGGTCGAATTTACTGTTATAAACTACAATCTTCCATGAATCTGTCGTAAATGCGTATCGAATGTAAAACTTAACGTCATATGTAAAGAAAAACAAATGACGTTTAAATTAAAATTGGACGAGGTAAAAAATTTATATATATAAATATTTATATATATTTCGGTGATATATGTTATTTATGTTAATTAGATAAAATATTAAATAAACAAATGAATTGTTTATGATTCGTTCAACGTTTTTAAATATAAGAGCCATTTTATATTGATAATTCAATATTATATTAATATCTATAGTTATTAACAACGGTTATTTGCATATAAAACGAAAAATAATCAAAAATGAACGAATATTAATATGGAAAATTTCCGACATTTATATGTAAATATATTACAATTTCATAAATCAGAGCATAAAAATAAATACTTGTATCTATAAAATCAACGTTAAACATAAATAAAATGAAATTTAAAAAATATATATATATATATAAATATTTTTTTATGAAATTTATTGGTCTTTTAACATTTTTTTTATTTTACTAGAATTTTTTTGCAACATGATGATGCATGTTGAAATTACAATTGAAGTTATCACTAACATTTTTGTCAAGATTTACAAATCCTACGTTTTCTTTAATTTCGAAAACCAATCGATGAAATTTGAATAAGCTGATTTGTTTGAAATACACCTATATAGAGGCAAAAACCCTACTCCGTGGTTTAATAATTCCTTTAATTTTATAGGACTTTCAGGTAAACTATTTTAAGAAAATGTATCTTCTTTTTAACAGCGAAGAATAAATTCTTTGGTATTCATACTCTTGAGCATGCAACATACAACTGACCATCCGTAAATATTTCTTTCTGGAGCCAAATTCCAAATTTTTGAAGCGTTTGACCTTGTGAATTTTTTTTATAGTTCTCGCAAATGCAAGGCGAACAGGAAACTGATTTATTGTATATAAAAAGAAAAGATGAGCAAAAAACAATATTGCATTTTTATTTAAAAAGTATTTCTTATTTTAATCATTGTTTTTGATATAGTGGGAATATTTTGTATGTTATCAAAATTTTCCAAGCGTAGCTTAGAGGTGGCACAGGGCCTAAAGCATAGGGCATCCAGTGAGGATCGAACTCCCTATTCAGTCATAACTGTTTTAGCGAGACAAGCTTGCTAACCATTACACCACGCCGAGGTGCCCTTATTTTGTATATGTTATATAAGAAAATTTAATTTTAAAAAAATGAATGAAAATTTATTGTACTACTCAGCGCACTCTAGTAAAAGCAACTGTACTCTGTACCCCCTCTTACCGATTTGCACTTCTTCCGAAAATTTAGTTTAGATCGGTCAATGTATAGCTATTTTACAGGGTGTGACGGACGGACTAGCGAAAATAACAGAATAGGGTCCTGATCTGGTATCTCGTCTACAGTCACTTTCTCTCAGACATGCTGTAGCCTCCCTCTGTCTCTTCTATAAGTATTTTCACGGCAACTGTTCCGACGAGCTACTTTCGCTGGTTTCCGGACTGCATGAATTTAAGCCAGCTACCAGGCTAGCATCTCGATCCCATCTTTTCACTGTCAAAACGGTTAAATGTAACCGTCTCTTCTACTCAAACAGCTTCTTGTCCTGCACTTCTTTGCAAAACTCTTGAGCTTGATTGACCTTTAGAAGCTTCTCGAAAAAATCGACGTCTGGAAAAATTTGTAATTTTAGGTGGATTGTTGGACGTTTTCTGGTGCCGTTCACTTTTCAGGGTCCTTTTTAGATAATTTTCTCACAACTTTTCGGGACCTCGACAGTTCTCTTGCATTGGAATTCATAGATTTTCCTTCCAGTTTAAAGGCAAAATTGTCCCGTTTGTCATTTACATTAAGGGGGCGAGTTCCTAGGCATTTTGCAGTAACTGTATTCAATTATGAAATGTTTAAATAGGACTCACGTAGCTTAAAATCATGCCTTTTTATAATCTGCGCATGCACTTATTCTTCCTTTGGTATTCTGAAGTAAACCAGATATGCAAATTTATCAAAACAGTCTTATAATTATTTTCACACTCGAAAACGAAGTTTTGTTAATAACTTTTTTTTAATGGAAAGTTGTTATAAAATCGAATATGTATACTAATACCCATCGGATCTAGGTACCACACACAAATTTTCAGAGGAATTTGTGCAGTAATAAGAAAATTATTAACAATTTCATGGGGTGTCTTAAACTTAATTCCAGCAATATATATATATATATATATATATATATATATATATATATATATATATATATATATATTGCCTAATTGTTTTCTTCCCAAAATTTAGTTTGGATCGGTCAATGAATAGCTATTTTACAGGGTGTGACGGACGGACTAACGGAAATTACAGAATTTTATATATAGATTTTTCTATTTTTCGTCTAATTGGGATCAAAATTATGAACAAACTACGTGAAGTTAATGTTTGTTGCTTTTATCCAAGTTCTTTCGACCGTCTCAGTCATTTTCAAGTGCCGTGTGGTAAGCAAGATTCCGTTGGCTACAGCCTGGCAATTTTTCATATGTCACGGTTAAGGGGAGCGGGACCACACCAAGAAGAACGCAACAATATTAAGCATTTTTAATACGTATATTGAATATTGAAACTTCATATGGGTGCTGTGCATGGCACCCAACCCGTTCAGAAATATCTAGACTGTCAGCTGTATACAACCGCTAAGATCAATAGTGGAAAAAGGATTTGAGCGAATAAAGCCTGAGGGTCATGGCAAAGGTCATCACTCTTTGAACATTAGGCGCTACAGAATCACAAACAAAGATCTGTACCAAGTAACACAAAAGAACATCACTAACATCACTAAACCCCACTGAATTTTCTAAATTAAATTTTAACAAGGGAATAGCTCCAATAAAAAATATAGAAGGAGAAAGCCAAAAGATGGAGGTCACATAGGCAAGATCATTGAGTGATACTGAATTTCGTTTTTCTCCACAAATTACAACAATGATTTAAAATCAATCATCATTTTCTTACAAAACATGTGGCACACAACAAGGCGCGGGTATTTCGGCTAGTGTGTGCGTATATATATATATATATATATATATATATATATATTGATCGACGAGGAGGAGGAGCTCAAGACAGCTATCAGTACGATTAGAACCATCATGAGAAAATCCTAAGAACCTGACTGGTAACCAGACAAGATCCAAGCCTCTTATCAGAAAAGGGGACAAAATCCCAGTGTAATAAATGAAAGTTTCAAATATGAAAAGCAACAAATTTAACGTTGAAAATTCAAGGAATCTTAATTCAAATTTTAATGTCAATAATTGGGGAGACGAACAAACCTAATCCAGGGTTATTTCGCGAATAAACATCAAAGCCTTAATCCAGCATAATGTATATTCGTATACGATCTCCAGGGTTTGTCAATATTTTAGTGCAAACTAAAAAAAAAAAAAAAAAAAAAAAAACACCTTCTAAAGGCTTTATTTATAAAGTCAGGTCTTATGGAATACTAGGACTCCCTATCTATAACATATAGACTAATTAACTCGGAAATGACCAATGTTTTTATCGGCCAGGAATGAATGATATGGTGGAGGACGTTTTAGCATGACCTTCGTGTTTATTTAATTTGCTTGAGATCAAATTACGAAATTTACCATGACGAAAATGGAATGCGAATTGTCAGGCATACATTGCTTTGAGATTCAGTTTACTGTAAAATTCAACACAGAATAATCGCTAATCGTCCAAGATTTTAAAGAGAAGCCGCAAATGTTTTTGTTATAATGTGGATTTTTAAAATATATATACTTTCTATTTAATAATTTTTGCTACACGGGTTTCGGGTCTTGTGACCTTCATCAACCAAAGAATGGTTATTTACACATTATTTAAAGGAATGATTTTTTTTTGCTTTATGTTTTCTTATGTTTAACCATTGTCTTTTGTGTGTAGTAGTAATGCAAATTACCGTGGAGAAAATGTTCTTCTGCTTAAGGGCAAATAAAACAATTAAGATTGGTCAGAGAAAGGGGAGGTAAGGAGGTCTTCATTATCTTTTTATGACTTCCATATCATTTTAATCCTATCTTCATTTTTGTGTATTGTGCGTGTGCTTTTACTAGTATGTGTATACATATTACTTCATCAAATATATATTTTGAACAATAAAAAATATTAAAAAATTAAAATCTTCAGACACACTGGGCTGTAGATTAATATTCTTCTTCTTCTTATTATTTCATTTAGATTCCTCAACTAGTTTCGGTCAAAATGGCCATCATCAGGAGAAGAAATATTTCTGCTTGTTGGTAGCAGTAAACTACAGAAATGAATGTCTTGATGGATATATATATATATATATATATATATATATATATATATATATATATATATATATATTTGTATGGTGTGTGTGGGTGTGGTCTGTCTAGTGTGTTTTTGCTAGTGTGTGTGTATATATTCGTTCTCCATACATACGTATGGTGTGTGTTGTCCGACTAGTGTGTCCGGTCACTATGTGAGTATGGTGAGTTTTTATTTTTGTTTAATGCTGGTTTAAATTTGTCTATGAATTTTTTCTTGTATTTGTAGGTAAGAATAATTGTCTGATTGATATATTGGCATAATTTTAAATTTGCCATCGTTGTATTTGTAGATGTGTTGTCACTCAAAGAGTTTCCTCTTGTCTGGTAATTTAATGTTACTTTTGTGAAGGGAAACTCTTTAGTGCTTGAGTGATACCTACATAGGACTTGTTGCGTTTTGTGCACTATATATAATTATAGAAAGATATACGAAACATTTCTTCCCTACTTATATAACCCAAATTAGAAAGAATGTCTAACCCCGAAGTCCTTGCAAAAGCAAACATGTAAAAAAATGTAGAAGTCCTGCTAGCAGCAGCGAGACTACTCTGGACGACTCACTACTACCGAAAATGCGGGAAGCGAAGACGAGACGGTCAAAAACTCCGCTATAAAGACTACATTAAGGGACCCGAATGCCATGCAGGCTGATGTAAACGACTGGAAACAGCTGGTCCCAGGGGCGCCCTTCATGGCACTGAACGTTTCATACTGGAGTAGCAACAGTCGAAGCATGGCGACTGGCCAGTTACCACCGAGCATCGGCCCGGAGACATGGGCGTCACGCGATTCAAATCGCTGGACCGAGATTCAGCTCCTCCTTGTATGACTCAATGATCGATGAAAACGAAATTATTTGACTTTCACAGCTTGGCCAAGGGATCCAGGTTCCATGTTAGCAGCTTAACAAATACGACCGTCAACATAAAAAAAAGTTGAATAAATTTATTTAAACGTTTTATATTAAATGTTCTGACAAGAACAACATAGGGCTGCCAACTATCCCACAAAACTCGGGATTATAGCGCGTTTAAAAATCTGTAAGGATCAATGGGTTTTGCTTTATTCGCGTGGAGAAACAATATATATAGAAGAAAGAAAGAGAGGGAAAAAGAAAGAAAGAGAGGGAAAAAGACAGAGACAGAGAAAGAAAGAGACAGAGAAAGAAAGAAGACAAAAGAGGAAGAGGAAGGGAGAAGAGAGAAAGGGATTGAGAATCTAACCTTTATGGCCGAAAAAACTACCAAAAGAACAGGTTTTTCTTGACACTATTATTTTAACTGCCTTCAATCCTCAGCATTTATACATATTCTTTGTTCTTGAAAATAGACAACAAAAATTGTCAATTATTCGAACTTTATAAAATGGTAAATAAGGATTTCCTTACAGTTCACATATTTTAATAATTTAGTAAATCTTTATAAATTTATGAATAAATCGTTTCCATATGTATTTCTTTATAAACTTGTAAATGATAAAATATTTTATTAGTTCTCATTATATTAATTTTTAGAATGTTGGAAATATAAAATCATTCTTGTAAATAAACAATCTAATAAATAAATTGTGGTTAATATTTTTTTGCGAATTCTCAAGAACAAAAAACACCAAAAAGAAAAAAGAAACGTATGAATTATGACTTTCATCATGTATTTAGGTGTTATTCAAATTCTAATTATTGCATTTTAAAACAATTATTGCCGACGAGTGAAGGTAGTTAAAATAGCGTTGTCAAGGGAAAAACCGTCTTTTTAACAGACTTTTTCCTGGGCTTTCTTCCTTACTTTTTGTTTGAAGTAGTGTGGAACGTCAGCATCTTGATTGTGGCATTATTTTCCCTTCGAGTTAAATGTGCTAACCATTTTAGTTCTTGCTGCTGTTGAAAGTCCTCAACTAATGTGGTTTCTCAAGTAGTGTCACTTTAAAACTAATTCAATTTAAACTGTAATTAAAATATTACACTGAAAGTATTGTGCATAAGCACCTGTAAGCCACTCACGAACAAGACAGACATAAGCATTATATATATATATATAGAATATATTATATATATATATATATATATATATATATATATATATATATATATATATATATATATATATATATATATATTATATATATATATATATTATATATATATATATATATATATATATATTATATATATATTATATATATATATATATATATATATATATATATATATATATATATATATATATATATATATATATATATATATATATATATATATATATATATATTCTTTATATATATATATATATATATATATATATATATATATATATATATATATATATATATTTATATATATATATATATATATATATATTATATATATATATATATATATATATATATATTATATATATATATATATATTTTGGTAATCGGCCACACGAAAAGCAACGTAATACATTTGACAGACAGAAAAACAAGTTTTTTTTTTTAAATAACAGATTACTTTTTATGCTTTTACCGACGCTGTCAAATAACTTAAGAATTTAAATCAAATAATTTGCAAACAACCCGACCTGCACCGCCTGAAAGCAAGTACATAAGTCTATTATGTACTCTAAATGAACGAATGAGAAATAGTTTACAGAATTTCAAAAGAAACGCGTCCCAAATGTTATCACTTAACTACACGCAAATAAGGCTGTCAAAGTATAAGTTAAATAAATATGTGCCCTTTAGAAAATGAATCAGAAGAGTCACCTGATTGGAAATATGTTCTACTATTGTTTTGATTCACCGAACCCCCTATAAAAAATATGTGCGTCTTTCAACTGCCACATTCTTCTATTTAGAAAGAAATTAGCACTAAATAACTTCTACGTAACGTTCTGAGTCAATCGGTTGTATGATGAATACACTAAGAGGAGTAAGGAAAAAAAGGAAAAAAAAGAAAAGAAAAGTAAGGAAAAAAGAGAGAGAGAGAGAATAAAAGTGGGGAAGAAGAGAGAGAGAATAAAAGTGGGGAAGAAGAGAGAGAGAGAATAAAAGTGGGGAAGAAGAGAGAGAGAATAAAGGGGGGAAGAAAAGAGATAGAGAATAAAAAGGGGGAAGAAGAGAGAGATAGAGAATAAAAGGGGGGAAGAAGAGAGAGAATAAAGGGGGAAGAAGAGAGAGAATAAAAGGGGAAGAAGAGAGAGAATAAAAGGGGGAAGAAGAGAGAGAATAAAAGGGGAGGAAGAGAGAGAGAGAGAGAGAATAAAAGGGGAAGAAGAGAGAGAGAATAAAAGGGGGAAGAAGAGAGAGAGAGAATAAAAGGGTGAAGAGAGAGAGAGAATAAAAGGGTGAAGAAGAGAGAGAGAGAATAAAAGGCGATGAAGAGAGAGAAAAAGGAAGAGAGAAGAGGAGAGAGGAAACAAGAGTATTAATTATAATAATCTTGCTTCGGGGTCTGGAGCTGAAAAGGTTCGAACTGGTCGAAAAGTGATGCGGAGAGATAACAATGATGTTCTTCGGTGCAAGAAACGAAATTAAGTAGGTTAAGTCAGAGAGATTGTTTGGGCGAAAAGGAGAAAGAAGGAACAAATCGGAAAGAGCATCAAGTAAATAGAGAGTGGTAAAAGAATGAACAAGGAAAGACAAAAATCAATGGATTTAAGGAGAAAAGCACAAGAGAGAGAGAGAGAGAGAGAGAGAGAGAGAGAGAGAGAGAGAGAGAAAAAAACACGAGAGAGAGCTAGTGTATTATTTTTTAGTGAAGCTACTCCTTGCACGCCGGTCCTTGTTATATTCACTATAATGCTAACATATGGATCCACTAAAAATAAAGGATTAAATAAGTCCAATAATTTAATATATATATATATATATATATATATATATATATATATATATATATATATATACACACACACACTGACTGACTGACTCGTTTGTTAGACATTAAATTACATCACCTAGCACCCTGCATAGTTTACCTTGAATTTCATAACCTGAAGAATATTTATGAGCATTCAAAAAGTTTTTGAAAACCTAACGACGTTTTTAAATTTGGTTACAAATACAAGTTGTAAAATAAATTTTTTACAGTTGCCTTGATAAAGCCCATCAGAGGACGAAAAGCGTTGGTAAAGAAAAGTTTAACTGATATATCAAATAAAAAATACATACTTTTAAAGGTATATTATGTGTTAAAATGCCCAATATCAGGTTTGTAAATATAGAAAAAATGACCATAAAATAGCATCAAAACTGCATTCGGATTCACAATTTCCCCCATTGGACATTCCCTAGAATAAATTGAAACAACCATCACCTCCCATCCAATATTCGAGTTCAAAAAAATCAAATATGGATCTTAATCCAACTGGATACGACAATGAACAAAAGGAAACGTTTATCAATCTAAAATGATTCACTTTTATTGAAATTCGTTAGAGATTGAGAGAAAACAATGAAAAGACAGAAGGTTTTTTTCAATTTTGTTTGGCCAATGAGAACTGAAGCAAACAAAATTGAAAAATACCAAAGTTCTGTCTGTTTTCTCAATCTCTGACGGAGCTTTAATAAGAGTCAAACCTGTTAGATTGATAAACGTTTGGTATTTATTCATTCTAAAAATATATATATATATATATATATATATATATATATATATATATATATATATAATTATACATATTATTCCTCACCAGTAGCAGGACTCTAATCTTCAGGTATCAGTAGAGATTGACAGTTACAAAATCTAAATATACACTTAATAGCTGTTACATTACACTGAGCACTATTTTATTAACACCGGCTCTCAATGTGAGATACCCTATCTCCATATATGTCGTAATTCTTTCAGGTTTTTTTTTATTAAAAATAGACATTATTTTTTTTTTTTTTTTGTATAAACTTTAGCAAATGTGGCTGTTGTAGATATAAAACATAGCTTAAATTTGTTACCATCTATATAACCAAGATGATATTCACCTGTAATTATTTCAAAGTTAAGCAGAATGTTATGTTCGCGTATGGAAAATGCTCCCCAGTGGGGTGGGATGGCAAACCCACTGGGTAATTAGATGTATCCGTCGACGATTTTAAATCCCCTTTGTTGATGTCTTTTCATCTCCGGACTCCAAAAACATTTCGACACTCGGCTAGAAGACGACGAGCGAGTGAGAAGATACGCTATAAAATCGACCCCGTCAACCAAGAAACCCCCAGAACGAGGATGCTATGTAACACCTCTACGGGTTGTTTAATGCCGAAATCTAAATATTTTGTTTACAATTTTATTTGCTTTTGGACATGTTGGTTTTAGTGATACAAGTTTTACTAATTAACCCATAGCTTGGAGAAGAGGTGGATTCTTACCTTTCCAAGAGGTATTTGCGTGTAAGTGAATATAACGAACCCAACTGGAATTGGAACTCAGCTCTCCGATTAACAATTCCGAGCCATTACAGCTCCCGCACGTCCAAGCTTACATCATCTGGTATTCCGAAGCACTCATCCATCTCGCCAGGCTTGACGTCGCTTAACTTTGGTGATCGTACGGGTACCTGATGTGGCCGTAAGCCTCGGTGAAAGGAAGAGGTGGGTTCCTACCTCCCCGAGGGCATTTGCTCATAGGCGAATATAACAAACACAACGGGAATTGGAAGTTGGCTCTCCGCACACAGAAATTAAAATGTGCGTAAAAGTAAGGCAACCAGTCTGTGAATAGGACAAATAAAAAGGAATGTCTTACTTGTGATTTCTCCAAGAAGGGCACGTGTAGCCCGGGGTATGTTTTAATATTCACGTATTTAGGAAGTATGAGAATTCCTACCGTGCCTCGTGGTCACATAAAACCACCACTGCATCTCGCATCCACCTCTGCCGTGATGTAAACCACCTCTATCACATGATCCATAAAGGCCCCTTAAGATATCAGTGAAATTTAAAGTAGATGAAACGTTTTCAGTATTTTGTTTCTTGGATCTAACAAGTTTTCGAATGTTCTTTCGCACACAACCACCTCTTCGAATTACGGTGTACTAAGAATGCCAATATTTCGTCTTATTCTTTAATGCCATTAACCATTTTTATTATTAGTGAAATGGAAATCCTTATCAATTTTTAATCTTTTCATTTGTACCCTCTTACTTCTTTAATAACCTGCATTCATATTTACCATTCTTATAGCAATATTTTAAGGTTATTGTGTTCAAATAATTAAACAGGCAATAGGGTAATTTCCTTGGGTATTTTATAGTCGTAGAATTCGCTCGGAGTTTATTCATTAAGTTAAAAATCAGGCTTCATCAGAAAACTCAAATAACAAAACAGTCAAATTGTTACAGGTGTTAACAATAAACTATAATTTTGAACAGCGAAAATTCCACTGAACTATGTTGGAGAACATCGCAGTTTTGACTAGAGATCAAGAAAATGTGAACTTTATGCAAAGTAGCCACAATATACGGAAAAAAGATATTTTAAATTAATATAAAATTTCTATGCGTACTAATCCCCCTATCCCACCCCGAACGGGGATCCCAAGCCTGATTCGGGATCCCGAGCAGTGATTTCTGATCCTCGTTATATGTTCAATATTTGCTTTTTTTTCTGCGTACAATTATATAAGTTACAAATTAAACTAAGCACAAGTGAATATTAAATGATGAAAAATTTTCGGATTTTGACGTCATTCTGGAGTCTTTATTTTTTTATCGTCCAAATCCGTGAATTTGTTTTGCTCATGCTAAATTTCGAAAAAAAATTACGATATGAAATTCACTATTTTTTATCTACAGTGTAACCCGGATATAAGAGAGTTGTCGGGACCGGAGAAGCCCAATCTTATATCCGATTTTCAATCTATTTTATATACATTAACACAGGCTCTAATTTGGGACCAGAGAAAATCTCTCTTATATCCGGGTTTCTCTTATATCCGGTTTGGTCTATTTTATATACCATTAACACAGGCTCTAATTTGGGACCAGAGAAAATCTCTCTTATATCCGGGTTTCTCTTATATCCGGGTTTCTCTTATATCCGGGTTTCTCTTATATCCGGGTTTCTCTTATATCCGGGTTACTCTGTATAATGTTGAATGTGTTGAAATTGTTCAACTTTTTAACAAGAAAAATCTCAAGTTGTTAAAAATTGCTGCAAATGATCCATTATGATATGTCGCTAATTTCTATTTAGATATATTTTATTTATTTTCAATTTTTCTAGTTGAATTGTTCACATATATTGCATATGATTCATTATTGTACATAATTAGGTTACAATAAAAATTTGTATTTTATGTGAATACTACCTTATGAATATCGAGATGTAGTAGAGAAGTGGAGTGTATTAGATTTGGGAGGGGCACCAGCCCCGCTAACAACAGGAGGATAGTGATTGTCTAAGCCCGGCTTAGATGTGGCACAAGACCGAAAGTATGGGGCACCCAGTGAGGATCGAAGTCACTATTCAGTCGTAATTGATCTAGCAAGACAAGCTTTCTAACAATTACACCACGTCGAGGTGCCCAAACAACAGGATGATATAAGGATATTTCTACTCTCTTGTGATATTATTCTTGCCCGCCATTTTTCTGATTTTTTCCAATTTTCAAATTTTTTTTTTTTCATGTGTAAAAATATGAAAAATCACTAAGGGGTTTTATTTATTTGTAATTTTCTTGATTTATATATATATATATATATATATATATATATATATATATATATATATGTCCTCTCTATCCTGTTTTACATCTTCAATCTTGTCAAATTTTGCCCCACTTCAAATATACCGGCCACCCACGAATACACATAAACACCAATTTGGCGGTGTCTAGGCAGGAGTGAATTGCAAGTTGAAATGTCTGCCTGTTAGCGGAAGTAATATGCTCTCCTAACTCTTCTCATTTATATTTTGAACCGAGAGGAATTGGACGGGGGGGGGGTAGGTGACAGGAAAACGAGAGGATCAGAAATTAAGGTGGAGGTGTGTGGGAATTATTAGTCGACGGTTGGTCAACGACACCCGAAGAACAGTTTGAGCCCAACTTACCAAGTCAAGTACAAAAGCGTGTATTTTCCTCAACAAACAATTTTCTGGCGTGTATATTGCGCCCACACAAAAGGGATAATTCTAGAGAAATATACGTACCCATACATTTCTTGTACATATATACCGGTCTCTGTCGAGGTTAAGACTGGGTTTAACAATTTCATATTGTCTATTAATACCGGGGTAGTTATGAAATCTTTTTACGTAGGTTTTTAACGCACTCGCTCGATACCCCGTTAAACATCGTGTTGCGAAATAAGCAGATGGCCATCAAAAGGTATTCCTTTATGATTACAATTTCCAGATGAAAAGTGACAATCGAGGGAATTTTTTGATATGAAATGAAACTTTAGCGCAATGGTTCCTTAACTTTTTTTTTCTTCTTGGCTGCATTTTCGGAATGAAATTTTGCTCGTGCCTCCCAAAATTTTATGTGATAAATAAAGTACATTTAAAATCCATTTATACATGAAAAATGATTAACAGACGTTATTGAAGACAACTATCTATCAATTTACTTCTTGCTCTGGAAACCCATGCACCATAGAACTGCTGATCCCATGATTCACTAATTTCTAATATATCAATGGTAGACCTTCTTTCGGAAAGAAAATTTGCTCGCGCCTCAAAGTTTGTGATAAAAAGTACATTAAAAAAAAAAAAAACAGAAAGTCAAAGGGAAATAACTTGATTCAAAGTCAGAATATTATCATCGATAACTCTCTCCTCCAATTTGCAGACACTGGTTATTATATTCTTAATACTTGATAT